CTCCCCTCCCCCATCAAATAAATAAAATCTTAAAAAAAAGAAAAAAATTAGTAAATAGAAACAAAGGTCAGAAATAAGAAAGATGATAGAATTAGCAAAGAAGGACTTTAAATAGCTGTCATATTTATGTTAAATATACTCAGTAATTTGGAGGAAAATATGGACATAATGAGAAAAGAAATAAAAGATTTTAAAATAACTAAATGGAATTTCTAGACATGAAAAATACAATGTGAAAAATTCACTGGATGGGATTAATAGCAAGTTAGACACTGGAGAAAAAAGATGAGTGAAGTTGAAGACACACAATAAAAACTATTCAAAATGAAGAACAGAAAGGGGGGGAAAGACTGGGAAAAATAAACAGACTCAATGGAACAATTTCAAGTGGTTAAATATACCTGTAATTGGAATCCCAGAAAAATAGGAAAAGTACACAAAATGAATGTAAGAAACAATGGCTAAAACTTGTCCCAATGTGATGAACACTATAAAGTCATTGATTCAAAAAGCTGAAAGAACTCCAAGCAGGAAATTAAAATATTTTATATTTCCTATGACAATAATGTCTTATACAAGATTCAAACACAATATTTAAACATAATATGTCAAATTTAATTCAATCATTTTTGATAATTCGCTGACTTTCAGCCCTTAAAAGCTACAAATTTACACATATTTTTCTATCCTGTCATTATGAAGGTATATTTGTAAAAGTAGGAGGATGGAACACACTTTATTTAACAATGTGTTAGCTTTGGCTGGCTCACTTGGAAGAGCATGCGACTCTTGATCTCAGGGTTATAAGTTCGAGCCTCACATTGAGTATAGAGATAACCTAATTTATAACTTTTAAATATTTAGACAGTAATAGTATCTAAGCTTCTCTTTGTACTTTTGTCCAGCACTCCACAAATGTCAAAGGCCAATATGAACCCAACACCCCAACCACAAGTACATTTCAGAGCTAGACTAGTGCTCACTGAGAATTAGGGGTGAGGAAGCATGATTTTATGCCAACATGTCTCTATTAGGCCTAGGTGGTGGGCATGTGCCACATCAATAGCAGGAAAAGCAGGTATGGGAGAGCCCTACAGGTGATTGTTCTGGGAAGGGGGTCGTAGTTCCTGAAGCTGGAATGAAATCCAAGGAGGTGGTTTCAGGATCAGTGAAGGATAGCTGCAGCCACAGGGGGAAAACACTATCCTCCTAGGGCTAGAGGAATGGGAAATAGATGTCAGGGAAAAGCTTCAGCTTCAGAGAGAGCACCTTGAGGCCTGAAGACAGAGAGAAATTAAGGTAAAATCTAACAGGCTTCCCTACAGAGGCCAAAGGAGGCAGTGGTACCTGGGCTAGAGGTGAGGACTCAGGTGGGAACAGGTAAGGTCACAGAGGCTGCAGAGCTGGTCAAGGGGCCCGGACAGCTGTGTGCAGAGCCAAGAACCTGGACCAGCCCTGGCCAAGGACAGGAATGGGGTTGGGCTGGGTTCAGAGATCTGGACTGTGATTAAACTGAGGGAGGGAGTGGGGCCCAGTAGAGAAGGGGAGATTGAGTCTGTGTCAGCAGCAGCTTCTTGGCACCACCTTTGGACCCCTATAGCCAAAGGACCTAGATGGGCAGGGCCAGGGATTGGGCATTCCGGACCCTGCAAGAGGTGGAGGGATTCTAGGGCATACTAACTGATAACTGTTGAAAACAATTGGCAGATGAGTTTTCCCCGGATCCTGGAGAAAGGGGATGTCCGGCATCTAATCAAGGACCAACCAACCTGGGCTCCCTTCTTCTCCATCCTGAGTTAAGGGAGAGTCTTGGGTCAAATTCTTGAAGGTTTGGAATAAGTAAGGGGATCGAGAATCCAAAAGGGCTGACAGTACAAGGCAGTCTGTTCTCCTTCATCCCTCCAGCTCTTTGCCTCTGGGTCCTCAACCCAGGTTCCACTCTCCTGAGTCGACAGGAAGGAAAGATGATTCCTACACATTGTAACTCTAGACAGAGGCTTTCTTTCTGACTTCCCAGAGGCAATCAAGTCTCTCAAGTTATTTTTCTCCAGGTCAGACAGAAGACTAGGTTAGACATTTCCCAAAGGAAACTAACTATTTTACTACAGGAAAAGTCACATTAAAAAGCAAGATAGTATGAGACCACAGGGATGGATGAGGCCTTAGGGAATCATTTTTTATTTGGACAGAATCAAATTCAGCCTTAGGAGACTCAGCTGGCCCTAATGTGGGACACCAGATCATTTCTCAGAGACCCAGCCTTGCATGGCTCCTGAGGCTGAGCAATTCATCCCACCAGAGCAAGGGAATTCATGATGTGGGCTAAGGCTGCCTCCTGGCCTTGGCCTGAGATGCTGGTCCCCACTGCATGGGATGAACCAACATAATCCCCAAAGAAGGAGATCTCTCTAACAATTATGGACCTACCAGTGTGCTTTTGGAGTCTCATTTGTGCTTCTGTTTAATTCCTCCCAAAAAGCAAGATAGGCTAAGATTTGGCTGGTGTGAGGACTTAGGTGATACCCTTTCCTTCACACTCCCACCGCCACCAGGTTTCAAATAAATATGGAGGAGACTGTGCAGCCTTCTAGGAAAAAGAGAAAAAATTAGTCATGCTCATAGTTGTAATGCAGACAGGAGTCCAGTTTCTAGAGAGGGCAGGTGACAATACCCAGTCCCAGTAAGGGCGTGGTAAAACAGGGACCGTTACGTACTGTTGATGGGTGTGTAATTGGCACGCCATTTTTAGTGGTAATTAAATGATGTAATTAAACAGTTTAAGTGCACATACATACTCCTTGACACAGCAATTTCACTGCCAGGCATTTATTCTACAGGTTTACAAATATGCAAAGATTTGTGGGCAAGGATACTCATTGCATCATTTACGGCAGAAAACAATGAAAACAAACGCCCATCAACAGTGAAACAATCGAGTAAAATAAATACTCTGCATCTATCAAAAAGAATGAGGTAGAGGTACAAGATATAATTATTATAAAAAGATATAAAGGGATGTACAAAATTATTAAATGAGAAAAGAAAATTGGAGAAGAGTCTTGTAATCCTATCCCATTTGTGGGTTTTTGAAGACTATTAACTATACATATATACGTACTGGAATAGAAAACATCTAGAAAGATTCACACAAGAAAAAATGAACAATGGCTACCACTAGGAGACCTTTACTTTCTAATTCACATTTTTCTCCAGGCTTTGAATTTAGGTTCAAACATGAATTACTCTTAAAATGTAAAAGAAAAAAAAATGTAAAAAAGGAATAAGGGACCAATGAAAGGTAACTTATCAAAAAGAAAAGAAGGAGGGCGCCTGGGTGGCTCAGTTGGTTAAGCGACTGCCTTTGGCTCAGGTCATGATCCTGGAGTCCTGGGATCGAGTCCCGCATCGGGCTCCCTGCTCGGCAGGGAGTCTGCTTCTCCCTCTGACCCTCCCCCCTCTCATGTGCTCTCTCATTCTCTCTCTCTCAAATAAATAAATAAAATCTTTAAATAAAAAAAAAGAAGAAGGAATTTATCAAATGTTATCATTAGAGGGCAAACCCAGAAATAAGACCCAGTGGCTCATTGGGGAGCCCTTCCTGACCCAACCGACTTGGCAACATGAACATGCTGCTCTCACCCATGATTTCTTTTTTTTTTTTTTTTTTTTTTTTTAAAGATTTTATTTATTTGAGAGAGAGAGAATGAGAGACAGAGAGCATGAGAGGGAGGAGGGTCAGAGGGAGAAGCAGACTCCCTGCTGAGCAGGGAGCCCGATGCGGGACTCGATCCCGGGACTCCAGGATCATGACCTGAGCCGAAGGCAGTCGTTTAACCAACTGAGCCACCCAGGCACCCGTCACCCATGATTTCTAACTCCTTGAGAGCCAAGCAGTCCTGCTGTGGGGGCTCCAGTAACATGGCTGAGGAGACGGAGTGGCTCCCTTCCCCAACTGAAGCCAACTGCTGAGTCGTCAAGGCATGCTAAGGGAAAGCCCTGGTGGCCGTTGACATTGGCAGGGATTTGCACGCACTGAGTCCCAGCTCTCAGCTGAAGCAGAAGGCAGCAATTCTGGCTGATCCTTGTCCCAGCTAATAGCAGGACAGACCTCCAGCTCGGTCACCACCAAGTCTTGGCACAGGAGTCTTGGCACAGTGGAGGTGATGACAGAATTGTAGGTATCCAGCAACAGAAAAGGGAAGCAATCATCAAGACTGAGTCTAGAATGAATCCAGGTAATATGAGCTTGGAGAATCCCAGAAACTTGAGGAAAATCTACCAATCTGGAATGTCTGAGTGAGTCCTTGAGCATTTTAAGCTAATAATATCCAGGTTTCATTCATTCACCTTAGATACTGAGGTCTTACCGTGTGCAAGACACAGTAGCAAGCACAGGGGATACAGCAGTGAATAAGGTACACACGGAATTTATTAAGTTGAATTGAATGAAAATACAATTGCCAATATTCAACCTTTTTGGATCTACAAAAATGGCACCTTCTTATGGATCAACATAAATACATTCTGGCAAGAAAAAAGGAATTACCCACTTAACTGCTTGATTACAATTGTGAAAATAGCTAGGAAGGAACAATCAGATCTAACCCAATCGTGTGTGTACTCGCTTGTGTGTTGCTGGTCAAGAAGGGCTTCCCTATAAAGAGTTACTTTTAAGGAAGTGAGGACGAGGAGGAATTAACTTCGTGGAGAGAGAGGGACATCATTCCTGGCAAAGTCAGGTGCAAAGTCCTTGAAGGGAAGCAAACTGGGTCTGTTCCAGGGACTGAGAAGGTGACAAAACCCACGGAGAGGGGCAGAGGTGGTAGAGGATGAAGAGATGGAGACGAGAGGATGCTGAGAGGGACGCAGGAGCCATATGGCGGCATATTATCTGTATCCAAAAGATGCCAACATCTAGGGACTATTCGGGTGGCAAAGACTGATCTATCCCCCTGTCATCGCCGAGCCCGGAGCTCTACAGCGAGTCTCGGGATTGGAATCTAGGTCCTTTCGAGGGCCTCCTCCACCCAGCATGCCACGTGCAGGGTGGCAGGGGTGTCGCAGGCGCGGGAGGCCAAGGAGGCCACATGCCCGCCGGGCGCTCCCAGCCCCGAGCGACAGCCCAGCGCCCAGCAGTCCCGGCGGAAGCGGCGCACCGAGAAGCAGTAGATGAGCGGGTCCAGGCAGCTGTCGAGGCTCAGCAGCGCCAGGCTGAGGGTGTGCAGGACGTCGAGCGTGGAGGCGGCGCCCTCCCGCCCGGCCAGCCAGGGCGCCAGCAGCAGGTGGTAGGGCGCCAGGCAGAGGGCGAACTCCAGCAGGAGCCCCAGCACCATGGTCCTGGCCGCGCGCGGGTGCGGGCCGGCGGGGGCCGGGCCGGGGCCCGAGGGCGCCGCGAGCGCCCGCGCCAGGCTCACGTAGGCCGCGAGCACCAGCAAGAAGGCGGCGGCGGCGGCGGCGAAGGCCACGGTGGCGTAGGCCAGGCCGGCGCGCGCCCAGCCGTGCTCCAGGCACCGAGCGGCGCCCCCCGGGCCCGGGCGCAGCGCGTGCGGCGCGGCCCGCGAGCGCGCGGCCCAGGCCAGGCCGGCCAGCCAGGCGGCGGCGCAGGCGGCGCGCGCGGGGCCCCGGCGGCGCAGCGCGAGGCGGCCGGGCGCCCTGGGCCGGGGCGCGCGCACGGAGCCGCAGCGGCACACGCTGATGCGCGCGGCGAAGGCCACGGCCGCGGAGGTGGCCGCGTAGTAGGCAGCCCCGGCCGCGCGGCCGGCGGCCTCGGGGAAGGGCCAGTGCGCCGGGCCCAGGTAGTAGGTGAGCCAGAGCGGCAGCGTGAGCGTGAAGAGCACGGCGGCCAGGGCCTGGTTGAGCAGGTAGAGCCGCGGGGCCTGACCCAGGCGCCTGCCGCTGCGGACAACGCCGCCAGGCCCAGAGCCATGGCGTAGGCCGCGGACACCACGATGAAGCGAGCAGGGTCATCCCAGGGGCTGCAGCCGCGGACACCCGGCTCCCCAACACCGCCGTTCATCTCAGACCTCGGACTAGGGAGAGGAAGAGAGGTCAGGGCGGAGGCTAGCCACACAACAGTCCTCCATTACACCTTCCTTCAACCCCAGCCTCCTCTTCCTCAGTCCTTGCTGGGAGCAGATCCTAGAAGCAAGGAAGTCCGTGTGGGAGAGGAGGAGGACTGAGCTGAGCCGGCACCCCTGGGGACGGAGAACAGGGGATGAACTCCAGAGTCACTGGAAGTAGGATGCGCTTGCTGACAAGCTGCGGGGAAATGAGGAAGAGGCAGGAGTCCCAGATAGCTTGGAAATTTCCAACCTTGGTGACTGAGAGGGTGGGAGCGCCCCTCACAGATGGAGTAGGGTTCAGATAATGTGGAGGCACAGGCATGTGCAGTAAGCCCAAGCAAGGCTGAGCCAACAGAGAGTTCTGAAGAAACCAGACTGGAATATAGAGTTCTTCCCAGAAAAAGCCCAGTCCTCCCTCCTCCACAAACCGTGGATGGAGGAACAGGCTTATGATGCAGTGACCCTGAGGACAGGCCCCTGCATAGCGACCTTGGACTTCGGGAGCGAAGGTCCTCTCCAGGGGCTTGCCTGGAGCCCCTGGGGCAGGGCGGAAAAGGTCTCACAACTCTCAGGCTTTCCAGCCTGTTTCCTTCCCCTGCACCCGGATCTGACCACAAAGAAGTCCTGGGTCTGAGTCAAAACTTTGGACAGCAAAGGGGAAAAGAGCACAGGCCCAGGAATCAGGCAGATTCTAGATACACACATTTATTTGCCATGTGACCTTGGGCAAATTACTCCGCCTCACTGAGCCAGGCTTCTCTGCTGTAAAATGGAGATTAAAATACCTACCTCACAGTGTTGTTGGGAGGATTATGAGGAAACATAAGTAAAACTCTGAGCGCTGTGGCTGACGCTGGGGAGACACTTCATAACCATTAGCTCTCTTCCCCTCCAGGCAGCGCGCAGATGAATGTGCGCACCACCCACACAGGCACTAGCCGCGAACAGAACAACGCAGAGACATCTGGGCGTGTTCCTCTTCTTTCCCCAAGGAGGTGAGTGCACAAGCCAATGTCCTGTTCCTATTTTTGGCATCGTCACCCTCCTAGGGTGTCCCAAAACTCAGTTGCTCCAATACCAAAATTCGTACTTGTTGCCTTTGAACCTCTGAGGCTGCGGTCCTTTCTGGGGCCCTGAGTGTATTCTCTTCTCCCCCTCCCTCTCGGCTCTGTCCGCTATGGCTCTAGCCCCCAACTGGCCCACCCTGGACCTCTTCCTGCCATCCCACCAGATCATTCCTCTCTTACCTCTTGCTGTTCTGGCTGCTGCAGCAGTCTCTGGGGCTCTGGGGGCCTGGCTTCAAGGAGCTGAGACGGAGCAGAATCCACTCCCACCCACACATCTCAGACCCTCCCATCAGCCGACTGATCCCAGGACACCATGTGAAGAATGGGCCCAACAGCTGGAGGGGCTGGGGCCCCAAGGGAAGGGAATGTCTTTGAGGGCATGGGGGCACAGGGAGGAGGAGAAAAGGGTCTAAGGAAGGCCTTGCAGCTGAATGTCATGGTGCTGACCTGACCAAGGTCCAGGGTGCGGTTTGGGGGGCACGTTTCCTGAGGCCTGGCTTCTCCTTGGGCTGAGGAGGCACTGCTGAGCTCAGGATACTCCTGCTGCTTTCAATCCCACCTGCTCCACACCAGCCGGCCCACCCGCTCCTCCAGCACGCTGCCTTCCCCACAGCTGCTGGGCGGGCCCTACAGCCAGGCCTGGGGGCCTCGAAGCTGCCCCTCAGTTTACAGGCCAAACTGTGGTACACAGGAGCCCTCGCTCTGATACCAGCTGGGCGAGGTTTTCCTCACAGTCCTGGCTGGAGACAGGCCGGCGTCGCACCCTGGAAGGACTGGTAAGAGGCCAGGATCCCAGAGGCTCCAGGTTCTACTTTCTTGGGCTTCAAAATTTTCATGCAGAGGGGCAATTCTGGAAGGCAAGGCAGATTTAGTCACATTGGACAGATCATCCCATTTACTCTGTTGAAGAGAGCAGGGGTGTCATCCCTGCCCACTTTCGACTTGGGCAGCTGGTGCGGTGGAAAGTGTGGGTTCTGGAGTCAATCAGGCCTTAATTCTAGTCTCAGCTCTGACAGGTAGGCACTTAAGCCTTCTGAATGCATTTTCTCATCTATAGAACAAACTGCTATTTAATAACGAATGCTATTTAATAATAGCATTTACTGAGCACTTATTATGTGCCAGGCAGCACTGTAAGCACTTTAGCTCACTAAGTCCTCCCAGCAACTCTATGAAGTATTTACTATCATTATCCATATTTTGCAAATAAGCTAATGAATGGCAGGAATTTACCCCCTCCGTTCTTTGCCGACCAGGGTGCACAAACCTTAACTAGTTTAAGTCCATTTTCCTTGCCAGTGGTGGGTCTAGGAATAGAAATGGGACATAATCCTGGCCAGTGGGATGTGAGGGGAAATCTGGGGGTCTTTTAAGAGCACTTTCCTCTCTTTTTTCACCTGTGGATGCTATGTGCAAATGTGCTGTCTGGAGCTGCTGCAACTACTTTGCAACGCCGAGGGCAGGAGCCAATAAATTAAAAGCAGCAGAGCAGAAAGTTGAGAGATCATCAGTCTTTGATGTCATTGCAAAGCAGCCAAATTACCCAACCTGGAAACTGAAGGTATGTTATCTCTGGACCTCTGTGAAAGAAGAGGCTTCCTGATTATTTGACACTCTATGTACTGAATGTACACTACTACATTTTTTATATGTACTTTACATATACAACTATCTGTACTACTACAGATGTACCAGTGTGTGTATATATACACATACACGCACTCGAGATTGCATCACTGTGCTTTCAGACACAAGAAAAGACCTAAGGGTGCCAACTTGCCTGAGGTTCCCAGTTCATCCATGTCAGAGCAGAAATTACCATTCTGGAGTGCAGATGAAATGCACGAATGTGCACAGACTTCTTTCATTTCTGTGGGCTCCCAAAAGCCATTGTCCCTACCCCCAAAGTGACCCATAGGCAGGTGACTAGAGTACTTGCATAAATAAACCAACTCTTTGCCTATCTCCCATTATGGGAGGCATATCACTTTCCACAAGGCCCTACTGAGGTGAAGACAGTTGATGATAGTAGGGACTCTAACATGGTCATTTTCCCTCAATAATGCACACATGCACACCCGGTTCTGATTCCCTAGGATCTCTGGGATTCATCCCAGGCTCCCAGCACTGGCTTTACCATGCAGCGTCCCTTGGAGCTGGCTGTCCTCTGCCTCCACGTAGATATCCAGGAAGCACCACCGTGGATGCCCTACCTCACTACCAAAGGCAGCAGTTTCAGAGCCTGTAAAACGATGATGCCGTGCCCATCTTTGTTAGCTCTCCACATCTAACGTGCGCAGGGAGCCCGATGCGGGACTCGATCCCAGGACCCTGGGATCATGACCTGAGCTGAAGGCAGATGCATTAATGGACTGAGCCACCCAGGCATCCCATGTCCGACTCTTGATTTCAGCTCGGGTAGTGATCTCAGGGTCGTGATCTCAGGGTCATGAGATCAAGCCCCGTGCTGGGCTCCTTGCTGGGGATGGAGCCTGCTTAAGATTCTCTCTCTCCCTCTCCCTCTGCCCTGACCCACCCTCTCTCCTCACTTCTAGGGAAAGACAGTAAGTATGCAAAGGTGATTTACTGTGAAGTGTACAATAGCAAAACAATGGGGACAATCTAAATGTTCCTCAGTGGGGGCTTGAATAAATACATTACAGTACATCCTTATGATGGAATAATATACGGCCGTTAACATCAATGAGGTAAGACAGACACGGAATGGTCTTACAGTATATGAGTTTTAAAAAGCAGGTAATAATTTATATTGTCTCATTTTCATTAAGAAATATCTGTATAAAGGCATAGAAAAAGTTGAATGGTACAGTTATTAAAAGGAATTAATAGTAGTTATTTTGGTGCATTAAAATTTGGGGTGATTTAAGTTGCTTTTCTGTTTATTTTCTATTTTCACATGACATGAGGAATGTTAGTACGTTTAACACGTATCCCTCAAAAAAGAGCAGTAAATGTCCAAGACAGAAAGCAGGGTCAGGTAGAGAAGATGTCTACTTCAACACTGGCCAACCCTGGACGTACTGGTAACAAGGCGGTAGACTGTGTGTTCCACCATGTTTCTGCCGTGACAGTGACATGGCATGAAGAGGCAAGAGGCCATCGACTCCCAGGATTCCTTGAATGCACTTGGAAGAGTCTTCTTCCTGGTGGGCCTGACCACCTTCTTTGTTTGGACTCAGAGATGGCAGATATCCAGCAGCTGCAGGAGCCCCAGGCAGATAATAGGTGGGATGTAGGTGTTTGGCGACTCTTTCAGAGATGCCAAAGTGAAGATAGCCCCTGGAATGGAAAGTGAGGTCCATGAGGCTCCCTGACCCACTCCAGCTCAAGCCCTCCCATTCAAAACTTCCCTACCACACACATACACCCTAAACTAGCTGCACTCATCTCTCTGGCCCCCAGAAGAGAACAGAACCAAGAATCAGAAGCCCCCTGAACTAACGTAGCCACTCTCAGAGGGTGAGAAAGAAATAGGAACAAGCCTGCCGAACAGAACAGGGAGGTGGGTGGATGGGCATTTTGGAACAACTTCTGCTCCTTCTCCCTTCTTAATCCTACCGGAGAGACGGCGGCCCGGGGGGTTAGTGGTGGAGGTATGGGCAAGATCTGAAGATGAGGGAAGTTCAGAGATGGGAGGAAGGCCTGGGGGAGGGGCGGCAGGCATGGCCGCAATGGCGACACCAGGCCAGCGGGTAGAGATGAGCCTGAAGACGTCTGACCTTTAAAGCAGCAGCTGTCTTTGTACGTCAGCAGTTCCCGTGGGCACAGCAGCTAGGAGGGGTTCCTCTAGGACTGCCTGTCACAGGGAAATTCTCTGCCTTCCTGTTCAGGGGGCCGGCCCAGCTTCCTAGCTCTCTGTTCCCACCTGCCAGACACATAGCTCCACAGGCAGCTGCTACTCCATCCCCTCGGCTCAAGGGTAGGGGTGAGGAGGGAGGGGTAGGGGCTTTTAAGTTACAAGACATATTTACCATGGGGATACCCTGCAGCCAACTGAATCAGTGAGGCGGGAAGCTATGTCTGACATAGAATCACGTTATAATATATTAAGTTTAAAAAGCACCTGTCCTAGTCTGAAGACCGTGGAAACTGCAGTAGAGCAGGGAGTGCTCCTGGTTCCAGAAAAAAAGGAAAGGAGGCAACAGTAAAGGGAACTGCCAGATCTTCTATTACCCTCTGCCAGAAGTCCCCATTTCCCCAGCGCGGTTGCACCCCTTACCCATCATGAGGAGGGTCAAAAGCAAGTTACTGATCTCTCGCAGCATCGGTGGGCCCAGGACCAGCAGCAGCCCAGCCAGCAGTTCCAGCCAGCCCACAGCCTCTTGGTAGTTCATGGGATCGGGCTGGTAGCCGAACACCTTCAACGGGAACACCTCAGCGAACTGCACAAACAGGGCTTTCTAGGGGCGGCAAGGAATGCCTGTCAGCCCCACTCAAGGATCCACTGCCTAGGCATTCCACAGGGGCATTCTGTATCTGCACCCTCAACTCCCCCGACAAAGGAGCTACCCTTCTAGGTAGGTCAGGTCCAGGGCTGAGGTCAGTCTAGAGAGGAGAGGGCCTCCCTGAGGGACTGAGCTTTGGAATCAGGAAACAGGCTTTATGCTCCAAGGAGAACGGCTGGATGTTGGTGCAGAGGAGAACTGATTTTCTCACCAGACTCTCATTGGATTACACCCCAGCCCCAAAGTCCAAGACCAGGAAGTTAGGCATGCCACAGCTTCTCTTTCTTGCGGCCTGGCCTGGTTTTCCTGAGGATACTATGCTGGGAATATTGGGAGGTGGGGGAGAGGATGAAAGAGTAGATGGTTGCTTATTCAACAGATCCCATTCTGAATATGGTATGCTGGGCCTGGGTCCCACTGCAGTAGACACAAGAGTGGGTAAGGAGCTCAAAGAGGCTCATTTTGCTGAGTCAGGCTCTGATCTGGGCCACATGACAACTTCACCCTCAGGCCGGCTACCCCTTCCTGCCCTCCTACTCCCCACCTCAGCTCTACCTTCCCTACTCTGCTGCAGGGAAGAAGCTCTAAGCTGTCTGGCTCTGGGGATGTACTTCCCCAAACCATCCACCACCCTAAACCAGGAAGGAAGGGCAGAACCCAGGCCTGGGAGAGGGAGGCTGCAGGGTCTCCAAGTCTGGCTTATTTGAGGGGCGGAGGGATTGGTGGGCATAACCACAAGAAAGCTTTTCCAAGAGTCTGGAACTAGCCAGGAGACAGAAGGAGGGCTTGCAGACATTCCTCTCAGGCTCTCCGGTAAGGGCTGTCCAGATTCTGAGTTAGGAGAGCGTCTAGACTGGTTCCCGCGTCTTGACTAGCTGTGTAACCTTTAGCAGATACACTTCACCTTCAGGGCGAGTTTCCTACTCCACCAAGCGGGGAATAATAAACCCGTTCCTCACGAACCTCCCAAGAACGCAAGCAAGCGAAGGAGAAGAGGACGGGGAGGCTGCTGGGTCCCCTATTCCATTCCATCTTCCTCTCGCTGGGTCCCGACGCCCTAGGTTTGCGCGGGACCCCACGGCTCAGCTGGAAGGAGATCTGCCCCGTCCCCTTCCGTCTAGGCAAGAGCCAGAGGACTCCGAGGAGCACCCTAGGAAGGCGCCCACGTCTCGGTCGACGTGCTCTCCCCGCCCCCGCTCTAGCGCCGTCTCGCCGGAAGGCAGGCAGGTCCGTGGGGCACCGGTTCGGGCAGGCGGGCAGGCGGGCCGGGGACTGACCGCCCCCCCCCCGCCCGCCGCCCCCGCCCCGCCGCTCACCATCTGCTGGGACGCGGGAGCCGAGATCTGCTCCGAAAGCTTGGCTGCCCCCGTGAGTGCGAAGAAGCCGCCCAGCAGGACGCGCAAAGCGCGGAGCCCGAGCGCCATGGCCGCGCGGGCCCTCCGGGAGCGAGGAGAGAGGGAAGGGGCGGGCAGGGGAGGAGAGGGCAGGGCAGGGCAAGGGAGGGGAGACCGGGCCGAACCCCGCCCCCTGCCGCCGTCTCGGTTCCTCCCTGCCCAGGGCGGACGGAGGAGCAGCGCCAGAGCCTCCCGTTCCTCGCCTCCCGAGGCTGTTGCCACCCCCCTTTTCTGTCTGTCTCACAGATGGGGACACTGAGGCCCACTGGCTCAACTGACTAAATGGGCCCCTTTGAATTCAGGGTAAGTCTCTTGTCTCCCAACCAGTACAGAGTCAAGTCCAACAGGAGTATCTGAACGTGCCTCGCAGAAGACCGGGGTTTCCTTCCTGCCTGAGCCTCCCTAGCTTTGCCAGCAGAGCTGCCACCTAACCTCATGGGCCTCAGTATCTGCCTCTGTATATGCGGATAAGCCTCTTAGTTCTGAAGAACAGGCCTAGCACAATGCCTGGCACATGTAAGAGCTCAAAAGTTATTTGTAAGTTAGTTATGAAATCATTAGTAATCAGTAACAAGTAGCTATAAATTGTTCTTTTCTATCTTTGTGTAAAATATATTTTCCCTCGAATTTCTCCCAGCTGAAATTAAAATGTGAAAAGTGTTTAAAAACTCAGACCCTTGCAGCTGCGGAAGAGAGACTTCCACGGAACAAAACTCTAGAGGCTACTCCTGGCCCATCTGCTATTACCTGGAGATCTGTCTACACCCAGATGGACAAAGGGTGGGCCAAATTATTTAGTCAGCTGTCTGGTTTCTTCACTTCCTCCCCCTCCCCAGCTAACAATATTTGTTTACATTTTTTAATGATACAAAAAAATTTAAAGGCAGCTCTCATGACACATGAAAACGGTATTATTTCAATGTTCATAAATAAGAAGTTGTATTGAAACAGCCACACTCGTCTGTGTATTGCCTACAGCTGCTTTTGTGCTGCAAGCGCAGAACTGAGGAGTTGCCACCATACGGCCTGCAGAACCTAAAACACTATCTGGCCTTTTATGGAAAAAGTTGGCCAAGCCCTGGTGGAGAGGGCCACAGAGACCCCTACAAAGGGTCTCAAACTCTCCGCTGCTTCCATTTCGGGGTTAGCCAAGCAGCTCGGATCTTGGTTGTTGTTTTTTTTTTAAGATTTTATTTATTTACTTGAGAGAGAGAGAGAGAGAAACAGCATGAGAGGGGATAGGGTCAGAGGGAGAAGCAGGCTCTTTGCCGAGCTGGGAGCCCGATGTGGGACTCGATCCCAGGACTCTGGGATCATGACCTGAGCTGAAGGCAGTCGCTTAACCAACTGAGCCACCCAGGCGCCCTCGGATCTTGGTTTTGTACCTACCCACAGCCTGCTGGGGTGGGGGGCTGCCTGGCTGAAGACTGCGACGTCCCATGTGTTTCTAAAGGCCAAGCAGTTTCAACATCCAGGGGTGCCGGTAGGTTATAAACGGGCCTTTTGTTACCCTCATTTTTGTCCCTAATCCAGATTATCCAATCAATCGATCAAACAGCTAAATTCTCTACCTTGGACTAATAAAATTATATATAACAATTTATAAATGCATGATTATTAATTCCTCAACAAAAAGCAAAATTACTAAAAAACACTTATTTAATCACTGAAAACACATATCCACATTAGGAAATTATATTTTAGGGTACTTATAGAAAATTTAACACAAAATTATAGACTTTGATAATAAGCAATAGATCCATGTTACTATTCTTTCTCTTTTACTAATTTTTCTATCCTTGGAATTAAAGATGTGACCGCAAGTCTTAGAGCAGGACCAGAAACCAACAAATTTCTTTGTTTTGACTCCGTCAAAGCGGAAAATGTAGCATCACATAAATAAATAGTTGAAAAAGGCAACAAAAACTTCATTGCCTTTTCATGGAGCTCTGGGTAACTTGTCTTTGCATTTATCCAAAACTGAGTTACAGACATTGATTTAAATACTGACTGTAATTCCAAATCTAAAGATAACTGTACTAGTTTTTCTTCTTCAAAGTCCGTGAGATTACTATTTTGGTGATTCATAAAAGGATTAATTATCCACAAATTTCCTGAACGCAAGTCTTCTTCTGGTGGATAACAGTCATGGAACATTTGAGAAAGTCCTTCTAGGTGCTCAGAAATAATGCTTGCAATGCCTCTCATATTTAAGTCTGATGAGTTTAAGAATTCGGAAAATGAAGGGAACATGTCATAATCATTCTCTTGTGTGCGCTTCAACCACATTTTTAACTTTTCCTTAAATATATCCATTTTATTATACAAATTGAAGAGAGTAGTCATAGTTCCTTGGAGACTTGAATTGAGTTCATTTATAAGTGAAAAAATATCTGATAAATAGGCCAACTTTGCAACCCATTCCTCATCAAGAAAATACCTGGCCAAATCTGAATGCTTTTGGTTTAAAAAAATTTCAATTTCATGTCGTAATTCAAATAATCTTGTTAAAATTCTCCCTCTCGATATCCAACGTACTTCAGCATGAAGTGGTAAATTCACATGCTCAGACCCCATGTCTTCACACAAAATTGTTAACATTCGTGAATTCAATGCATTGCTCTTTATAAAACCTAAAATTTGTGCTGACTGCAAAAGAATTTCATGTAAGCATGGAGACAACTTTGCTGCTGCTAAATGCTCACGGTGAATAAAACAGTGTGTAAATGCCACTGTATTCGTGGCAATTTCTTGAATTTTTGCCCTGAAAGCAGAACCCCTGCCGGTCAGGCTTGCAGCCTCATCTGTACAGAGACCAACACAATGTATCCAATTCAGAGATTTACTGTCAATGTATTTACTTATTAGTTCAAATATTTCAAAGCCAGTTATTTGAGAGGGCATTTCAATGCAACACAGTAATTCTTCTTTTATATCACTGCAATCATAATCAATGAAACGAATATAGCACAAAAGAAGGGTGATATTTGAGATTTCTGATGATTCATCCACCTGAAGGGCAAACCACTTGGACTTTCTGACTTTTTGAATCAGCTGATCTTCAATGTCTGCAGACAGTTCATCAATCCTGTGTCCAATCGTATTATTAGAAAGAGGAATGGTTTTCATTTTGTCTCCAGCACTTGAACCCAAAACTTCTGAACACATCTCTACTAAATATGGTTTAATTAATTCTTCAGCAATGGAGAACGGCTTCTTGCTGGCAGCAATTTGAAAAGCAATTAAGTAAGAAGCTTTCACAAGTGACTTTTCAACTAGTAAACACTTTTTTAAAGAACTATTTTGACATTCCATTTCAAGAGATTTTTGTTCAAAAAAATCTACCGGTTTGTTTTCTAATTCTGAATGTTTTGTCTTTAAATGATGAGAAAGATTTGCTGGCTTCATGTTTTCAGTGGATAAAATTTCTCCACAAATGACACATTGTGGCCTTGGTGAACTTTCTTTTGATCCTGGACAGATAATAAAACCAACTTTTAAATATTCCGCATCATAAGTCTGGAAAAAACCTATTCTTTTTTTCTTTGCAGGTGGAGACTCAAGTTCCGCATCATGTTTCTCATTAGGCACAGGGAAATCTGAATAAAATATTTGAATCACTGTTATTTTCAAGAAGAAATAAGCCATATTATGTTTTCCCCCACACATTTAAAATTTATATTTCATTACTATTTATATTTGTCAAAAGAATACACTAATTAAAGTTGAAACCCAAACCATGATACTTCCATGGTGCCATTAAAAACTGAATTTCTCCTTGCCCAAAACTTGGCCACTAACTAAAGCAAAACGGTAGGCTGTAGTACATGAACTAGCAATGCTATGTATTCAATAGATTACTGGAATTAGGGCTGAAGTCGGATACATCAAATTAAGAACAAATTATTTTATTTTTAAAATTTTCAGAAAAAAGGGAAAACAAGTTTCAAAAAGTTAACATCTGGTGAATTGAGATGAAGGATATATTAATGTTCATTGTGCCATATTTTCAATCTTTCTGAATTCTGAAATTTTTCCAAATTAAAGTTGAGGAAAAAAATAAAGGTTAATTATTAGAATACCCAGTGTCAATAAGGGTAAAGAGAAATGGATGTTCTCAAACACTGATGTAATTTTTCAATTTTGTAACATATACCAAAAGCCTTAAAAATCTATGCTAGCTTTTGAATCTGAAATTCTACTACTTAGGATTTATCCTAAGGACATAATTAGACAAGTGAACAAAAATCCACTTACACAACTTAACACTGTTTATAATATTAAATAACTAAAAGCAATCTCAATGTCCAATCTTAGGGGGATGGATACGTTGTAATCGATGCATCCGTTAAGAATCTCAATGTAGGGGCGCCTGGGTGGCTCAGTTGTTAAGCATCTGCCCTCGGCTCAGGTCATGATCCCAGGGTCCTGGGATCAAGCCCCGCATTGGGCTCCCTGCTCAGTGGGAAGCCTGCTTCTCCCTCTCCCACTCCCCCTGCTTGTGTTCCCGTTATCACTGTCTCTCCCTGTCTGTCAAATAAATAATAAATAAAAATCTTAAAAAAAAAAAAACCTCAATGTATATTTAAATTTATATTGATATGGAATACTTCTGATGAGCACTGTCAAATGAAAAAGTAGTTCACAACAGTATATTTTAAACAATCCAATATTTAATCTAGAAATTTAAAAAATATATATATAAGCACACACATACCCACACATATGGATGTCCACAGATTCTTTACTACCTTCCACATGTGAATGTGTATATAATATAAATTCATGTACACAAAGAGTATATCATTTTAACAGGAATATAAAACAATCAAATTTACTTTGGAAGGAAGACAGGATTCTCCTTGACTCCTACCAAAAGAAAGGCACCCTACATAAAAACTCATGATTACTTGTTGACAGACTATGCTTTTAAATACACTGTGTTCTGGGTAGTAAAATAATCATTAAAAACAAAAATCAAAAAATGCTTCGGGCAGAGTAGGCTACACAGCTAACTGAAAATATAAGGGTAGTGGCAGTTAACATGGATTGGGGCAATAGTTTACAACGTTTCCAAGTATGAATTAAAATAATTTTCCTGATCACCAACACCTCAGACACATAGTTATACTTTCAGTAAATGACAAATCAATTCAGAGTGTTTTTAAAAAAAGAACTAAGGTTAAATCACTAATGCTTTTTTTTTTAGATCACTAATGCTTTTAAATAAATTTGTACCTTAGTAGTTGTAATAGTTTGTACATTTGAAAAACAGCAGTGCACACACAGAGGAGATGTTTGTCCACTCTACACATAATGCTGTGTGTGCAGATGGATTCAATTTAGTAGTTATTAGTGTTAATGAGAATTATAAAAGGAATAAATTAGATTTTCAAAGTATGTGATCCAAGAATAAATATTTTCATATTTAAGAAACTATAAATGATTTTCTTTGCCTTTCTTAAAAAAAACAAAAACAAACAAAACAGAATAACTTTCTACATATGGAGAGCACAAGGACACATACCTGTCTGACATTCCTTGTGTTGTGTATGTGGTTTGCAAGAGGTGGCCTTGGTCTGTGTGACAGGCTTGCACAATACTGCTTTGTTTTTTAAAAGCCTGGAACACTGGGAAGATAGAAGTTTCATGGCATCTGTCTGTGTGCTTCCCTAGTTAAAAACAAATTTAGAAACCAAAAGAGATGTTTTTTAGTACCTTATCACTGACCATAATTTATCAACTGAAAGGTGGCACATAGCAAAAGAAATATAATTCCTCTGAAAGAGCAGTTACAATAGAGAAGTTACTTTGGAAAATATATACTAATTCCTAATTCTTCTAATCAGTGTCCATTCCATTTCTTAATTTAAAAAAAGGGGCGCCTGGGTGTGGCTCAATGGTTCAGTGTCTGCCTTCGGCTCAGATCATGATCCCAGGGTCCTGGCCCCGCATCATGCTCCCTATTCAGCGGGAAGCCTGCTTCTCCCACTCCCCCTGCCTGTGTTCCCTCTCTCGCTGTCTCTGTCAAACAAATAAATAAAATCTTTAAAAAAAAAAAAACAACACTCCGTCTATAGTAAGGACAATCAAAACAGTGAAAACAATCTTTGCTGATTAGGACAACTGGCTATTCAGAAAAACTAGATCCAATCTCAAACCATATGCAAAAATATATTCCATATTGATTAAAGACCTCAACATTAAAAAAAAACAAAAAACTTTAGGGGCGCCTGGGTGGCTCAGTCATTAAGCATCTGCCTTTGGCTCGGGTCATGATCTCAGGGTCCTGGGATCAAGCCCCATGTCAGGCTCCCTGCTCCGCGGGAAGCCTGCTTCTTCCTCTCCCACTCCCCCTGCTTGTGTTCCCTCTCTCGCTGTGTGTGTCTCTCTCTGTCAAATAAATAAATAAAATCTTTTAAAACAATAATAAATAAATAAATAAATAAAACTTTAAAATCACTGGAAAGGGGCACCTGGCTGGCTCAGTCAGCAGAGCATGCAACTCTTGATCTTGGGGTTGTGAGTTCGAGCCTCACATTGGGAAGAGAGATTACTTAAAATTTTTTTAAATCTTAAAAATAAATCAAATCAAATCAAATCAACTCAAATCAATGGAGAACTTTCAAATGACCAGAACAAGAAGAAGGGTTCTCTTTTTAAAGATTTTTTTTTTTTTAAGTAATCTCTACACCCAACACGGGGCTCGAACCTACAACCACGAGATCAAGAGTTGTATGCTGTACTGACCAGTAAGCCAGGCACCCCAAGGAGAAGGTACTCTTAAACAAAACACAAAAGAGTTAAAAACAAGATAGAAAAGACTAATACATTTGACTACCTCGAATTTTTTTTTTTACAAATAAAGGTCTTTATAAAATGAAGTTGAGGGGTGCCTGGGTGGCTCACTCATTAAGTGTTTGCCTTCAGCTCAGGTCATGATCCCAGGGTCCTGGGATCGAGCCCTGCATCGGGCTCCCTGCTCAGCAGGAAGCCTGCTTCTCCCTCTCCCACTCCCCCTGTTTGTGTTCCCTCTCTCGCTGTGTCTCTCTCTGTCAAATAAATAAATAAAATCTTAAAAAACAACAACAAAGTTGAAGGATAAGCAATAGAGTTGGAGAATGTACTGAAAACATGTTTTCCATTCAATAAATATTTACAGAATGTTTACTGTAAACGAGGCACTGTCCTAAACCCTGGGGATACAGCAAAAAACAAGACAAAGAAAGTCCTGCTTTTATGGGCTTTACATTCTGTAGGGAGACACAGAAGATAAACAAGTAAAGCAAACACATAATGTATAATTCCAGGTAGTGATAAGTGCTATGAAAGAAAGAAAGAAAGCAGAATAAGGGAATGGAGAGTGATGGTGTGGAGGAGAGGTGCTTTTGGAATAAAATTTGAGCAGAGATCTTCTGAATACTCAAAAAAGCAAACCATGCAAAGGCCTGAAGTTAAAGGATCCCAGGCCGTGGGATTATAGACACAAAAGTCTTCAAGTGGTAAAGAGTTTGGCATGCTTTAGGAAGAGAGACGAGAATAAGACTGAAATAAAAGTAAGCAGGGGCTAGAATGAACTATTTGAAGAAGCAGGCAGAAGCCAAATTGTATAGGAGCTGGAAGGTCTTAGTTTTAAAAACTAGAAATTAGGATTCTATTTTAAATGTGATGGAAAGCCACTGAACATTTTATTTACATTTACTTTTGATTTTATTTTTTAAAGATTTTATTTATTTATTTGAGAGCAAGAGCAAAGGCAGAGGCAGAGGGAGAAGCAGATGCCTTGCTGAGCAGGGAGGCCAATGCGGGGCTCAATCCCAGGACCCTGGGATCATGACCTGAGCCAAAAGCAGGCGCTTAACTGACTGAGCCACCCAGGCGCCCCTACATTTACTTTTTAAATAGGCAATAGATGTAATAATTTTGAATTATGTAATAATATAAAAGGTATAAAAGTATATACACGAAGGGGCACCAGGGTGGAGCAGCTGGTTGAGCCTCTAGCTCTTGGTTTCAGCTCAGGTAGTAATCTCGGGGTCATGACATTGAGCCCTACCTCGGGCTCTGTGTTCAGCACGAGTCTGCTTAAGACTCCCTCTCCCTGAATACACAACCTAACCCTACACCTAAAGGAGCTGGAGAAAGAACAGCAAATAAAGCCTAAACCCAGCAGGAGAAGAGAAATAATAAAGATCAGAGCAGAAATCAATGAACTAGAAACCAAAAGAACAGTAGAACAGATCGATGAAACTAGAAGCTAGTTCTTTGAAAGAATAAGACTGATAAACCCTTGGCCAGACTTATCAAAAAGAAAAGAGGAAGGACCCAAATCAACAAAATCATGAATGAAAGAGGAGAGATCACAACCAACTAAAGAAATACAAACAATTTTAAGAACATATTATGAGCAACTATATACCAGCAAATTAGACAATCTGGAAGAAATGGATGCATTCCTAGAGATGTATCAACTACCAAAACTGAACCAGGAAGAAACAGAAAACCTGAACAAACCCATAACCAGTAAGGAAATTGAAGCAGTAATCAAAAATCTCCCAAGAAACAAGAGCTCAGGGCCAGAAGGCTTCCTAGGAGAATTCTACCAAACATTTAAAGAAGAATTAATACCTATTCTTCTGAAACTGTTCCAAAAAATAGAAATGGAAGGAAAACTTCCAAACTCATTTTATGAAGCCAGCATTACCTTGATCCCAAAACCAGACAAAGACCCCATCAAAAAGGAGAATTATAGACCAACAGCCCTTATGAAAATGGGTGCAAAAATTCTCACCAAAATACTAACCAATAGGATCCAACAGTACACATTAAAAGGATTATTCACCACGACCAAGTGGGATTTATCCCTGGGCTGCAAGGTTGGTTCAACATCCTCAAATCAATCAATGTGATACAATACATTAATAAAAGAAAGAACAAGAACCATATGATACTCCCAATAGATGCAGAAAAAGCATTTGACAAAGTACAGCATCCTTTCTTGATTAAAACTCTTCACAGTGTAGGGAATAGAGGGTACATACCTCAATATCATAAAAGCCATCTATGAAAAACCCACAGAGAATATCATTCTCAATGGGGAAAAACTGAGAGCTTTCCCCCTAAGGTCAGGAACACGGCAGGGATGTCCACTATCACCACTGCTACTCAACATAGTACTAGAAGTCCTAGCCTCAGCAATCAGACAACAAAAAGAAATAAAAGGCATCTGAATTGGCAAAGAAGTCGTCAAACTCTCACTCTTTGCAGATGATATGACACTTTATGTGGAGAACCCAAAAGACTCCATCCCCAAACTGCTAGAACTCATACAGGAATTCAGTAAAGTGGCAGGATATAAAATCAATGCACAGAAATCAGATGCATTTCTATACACCGAGACAGGAGAAAGTGAAATTAAGGAGTTGATCCCATTTACAACTGCACCCAAAACCATCAGATACCTAGGAATAAATCTAACCAAAGAGGCTAAGAATTTGTACTCAAAAACTATAGAACATTCATGAAAGAAATTGAGGAAGACACAAAGAAATGGAAAACATTCCATGCTCATGGATTGGAAGAAAAAATACTGTGAAGATGTCTATGCTACCTAGAGCAAGCTACATATTCAATGCAATCCCTATCAAAATACCATCAACCTTTTTCAAAGATATGGAACAAATAATCCTAAAATTTGTACGGAACCAGAAAAGACCACGAATAGCCAGGGGAATGTTGAAAAAGAAAAGCAAAGCTGGTGGCATCACAATTCCGGACTTCAAGCTCTATTACAAAGCTGTCATCATCAAGACAATATGGTACTGGCACAAAAACAGACACACAGATCAATGGAACAGAATAGAGAGCCCAGAAATGGACCCTCAACTCTATGGTCAACTAATCTTTGACAAAGCAGGAAAGAATGTCCTATGGAAACAAGACAGTCTGTTCAACAAATGGTGTTGGGAAAATTGGACAGCCACATGCAGAAGAATGAAACTGGACCATTTCCTTACACCACACACAAAAATAGACTCAAAATGGATGAAAGACCTAAATGTGAAAGAGGAATCCATCAAAATCCTTGAGGAGAACACAGGCAGCAACCTCTTCCACCTCAGCTGCGGCAATTTCTTCCTAGACACATCTCCAAAAGCAAGGGAAGCAAGGGCAAAAATGAACTATTGGGACTTCATCAAGATAAAAAGCTTTTGTACAGCAAAGAAACAGTCAACAAAACCAAAGATAACCGACAGAATGGGAGAAGATATTTGCAAATGACATATCAGATAAAGGGCTAGTATCCAAAATCTATAAAGAACTTATCAAACTCAACACCCAAAGAACAAAGAATCCAATCAAGAAATGGGCAGAAGACATGAACAGACATTCCTGCAAAGAAGACATCCAAACGGCCAACAGACACATGAAAAAGTGCTCAGCATCACTCGGCATCAGGGAAATCCAAATCAAAACCTCAATGAGATACCACCTCACACCAGTCAGAATGACTAAAATTAACAAGTCAGGAAACGACAGATGTTGGCGAGGATGCAGAGAAAGGGGAACCCTCCTACACTGTTGGTGAGAATGCAAGCTGGTGCAGCCACTCTGGAAAACAGTATGGAGGTTCCTCAAAAAGTTGAAAATAGAGCTACCCTATGACCCAGCA